GGGACCGTAAATTCGGGGCCGAGGCTACCCCAACAGCATTGTCACCGTCGGGCTCCTCCTTCCCCCCTCCTTACGGGGCCATTAATGAGACGGAAGATCGCATCGTCAAGGGAGGAGGAAGAGGTGAGGCGAGGACGAGTGGAGGTGGAGGTCCCGCCTCGTGCGGGTGCATCTGCTGGTGGCTGGCGGGCTCGTGCAGCAGGGCGTGGTGGCGCCGCTCTGATGGCGGCGCCTCGAACTGGATGGATCTCGGAATGCCTCAGGTCACTCACTAGCTGAGATTCTCCATTCCATCCAGCGCCAACTGCATCAGCCTCTCCTGGTGGGACCGCGGAGGCGTCCCTCTCTTGATGCTCGCCCCGATCTGGACGAGGCCCGCGAGTACTTCCACTTGGATCCCTGACCCGCTGGCTTCCAGGAAAATCTTCATCGTCGCCCGATCGTGCGTGAAGCCTATCGTCGCCCTATCGTGCGTGAGAGTCCAGCGTCTCGTTGGTCATGGTCTGGTCGGCCTTCACTGTGTCCATGTAGGTCTTGATTCTCGCTGCCGTCTGTGCACCCACTCGATCTCCTTGCTGCTGCAATGCCCCGACTAATGTGAGCCATAAGTGAGGATGTGGTACACCGAGCTTGTCTAGCTCCACGACCCTCACTCCATTCTGAATCTCTTGGCGATGCTGGAGGCGGAGGCGCTGCGCCTCCTGCACAAAGTACCTGCCCGTCAGCCGCATCGCCTGGCACACTTCGTGGTCCGCCTGCAGATGCGCGATGTTGAAGACCACCGACTCCAGCGCCGCCAGCCCTTGCCGCGTGTGCAACATCGACCTGACCAGTACTGGCATGATCGCCTGCACCAGTTCGATCGGCATCGGCTCGTCCCCGAGGCGGAGGACGTCTCCGCGGTTGAGGCCGTAGCTGTTGTCGGCCGCGTCGAAGAGCTGCGCTAGCATCTGATTCATGTTGCTGCCCTGGCGCTGCTGCTGTGGGGGCGACTGCTGCTGGCGCTGATGCTGCTGCTGCTGCGGAGGTGGTGGCAGCGCGCCTCCCGCCGCCGCGTGCGCCACCGCGGCTGGGGCAGGCAGGCCGGCACCCACCGTCAGCCCCGCGCCCGCGGCCACGGGCGGAGGCTCCGCTGCGGGCCCGCGCCTCTGATGGCCTCCTGCTGAGGGGCGCTCCCTGCTGGGCCTCGGGCCACCTCTCCGTGCTGCGCCCGCGCCGCGCTCCCCGCTGCGTGAGCGCAAGGCGGCGGCCCTGTCGGCCCCTCCGACGCTGAGGGCGCGAGAGGCCAGATCCATCAGGCGGAGTCTCGTAGTAAATTAGATCAGGTGCTGGTGGTGCATGTACTTCCCGAATGTGTATCTGTAACTCTGCAAGGCTCTCAAAGGCCCCTGTCTTTCTTGTGCCAGGTGGCATGTTACAGACGAAGCATTCTGGGGTCGTGTCAATATCCAGGCAGAAGGGGCAGTGGAGATCAGACGGGACGATAGGCTCTGGTGCATATGGGCTCCAATCTGTGATGCATCGACGTTTTCGTAGTGACATGGCAACATGACGTTTGGCCGTGACCTCGCTCTTGAACGTGGACATGCAATAGGGGCACTGGTTGGTGACGACGAGCAAATGTGCAGGGACTCGCAATTTATGTGAGGGATGATGCACCTGATGCGCCCGCAGAGCCCCCTTGCTGTAGAACACCTGCCCACAGACCACCTCTGGATCTTCCCCTGGGAGCTCACAAACGTGCGCCTCTGGAGGGCCTTGCTCGGGGTCTTCTGTGTGATTGTTACCTCGGGGGCCTCGAACCTCTGGAACCTTTCTGAGCTTCTCTGGATTGAACCTGCAGAAGAGCCTACCCGCGATGTCCCTCGTGAAGATGTCCCGAACCGTGTACTCAGCCAGGAACTCGGGGCCCCCCTCGAGGTACTGCAAGGCCTGAAGGTCCTTCTGAAGCAACTGGGCCCACGGGTTCGCGGACGGGCTCACCGTCCCGTCCTCCAGGAAGGTGTCTACCTCCTCCAAGCCTTCCAAGGTCCCGAAGAGCGCTACCAAGGGCTGCCTGCTGTCCTGTGGAAACTCGACGAACCGTTGCCACTGGCGGAGCCTTCGGACCAGCAGCTCTGCTCGGGTATTGGTGATGCGCATTTTTGTCAGCAGCGTGCTCTCGGACAGGGAGCGGTACTTCAGTCGAGCCCCGTCTGGAGCACCTTCTATAATCTCAGGCTTGCGATCGCGCAATACTGCTCTCGCGAAGCCCAGGACGACGGCATCCAGTCGGCGGAGGTCCTGCTTACTGAGAAGGTAGGTCTCCAACCCTGAGTATGCAGCCGACAAGATGATGCCTTTAAACGCCATCCTCTTCAATCGAATAGAATGTGTCACCTCCCAGAACCTGCCCATCCTCCTCCATGCTGACCTCGTCGCCTCCACCCTCCGCCTGACTTCTGCTGCACTCCCGCCCGTAAGCTGTTCCATCCCTCCCAGATATAGACTCTCTGCGGCCACCACCCCAGGCACAGCAATACTTTTGGCAAGTAATACTCGAGTGGCTGTGTATGCCCCAGGACCCGTCATAACTGGCATGCACACCTCTTTGTCGGGGTTCTGTGAAAAACCGCCTCCCTCCTCCAGCTTTCTGTCCAGGATCAGGTTAGACGCCAGGAGTTTTTGCCTTGCTTCTACAGGGTTCGGGGCACACAAGGGCACGGTCTGATGTATATCATCTGCATAGTCTCTGACTGAGACGTCGTGCATCACATATGTCAGCGCGCACGTCATGATGTTGGCGGCCCTGCAGAGAGGCACTGGTTGGGACTGACGCGCCACTTGGAACAAATCTGGCTGCTCTAGTAGCTCGTCCCGCCAGGCCTCCACAGGGCGAAGAAAGCTGCGCACGAAAAGCTCGCAAGCGTTCCCGTCCCCCATCCCAGATCCATGCGTCGGTTGATAGTACCCCACTTCCTCTCCCGCCCTGATCTCCATCACCGCCTCCTCGTGCCGTTGATGAAAATAGGCACGATCTTGCGGGTGCGGAATAACCTCTAAGACCGTGCGCGCAAGCTCCTCGTGCGAGGTCGAGGGAAACGCATTCGACATGTCCTTTTTGACGAGTATGTGTGATATCCCCAGTTTCTTCAGCCTCCAGCTGTGTATTTTTGCAACCAACTGTGCGTTTTGTCGTGCTCGATGTGCTGCATATCCATGTGCGTGCGGGGGCAGGGGAGGATGATCACTGCGAAGGTAGAGGCCCCGATACCAAGCTTTCCCCATCGGACAATAGCAATGAATAAGACGCATGGCCTTCGTGCCCCGCTTGAGGTTCCCCTTGGAGAGCTGAAAGGTCCTACTCCAGTGCCAGCACGACGGAGTCCTAGACTTCACCCTAAATTGTCTGAATAGCCTCCGAAGTCGCTCCGCGAAATTCGGGCAGTGCACGTGCATGCGGGACTCCACCTTTTCCAATTGTGCTTCCGTCATGTGATGTGTGAAGGGCCACTCTCCCGTGATCTGCTTCGTGACATGCTGTGCAAGCCAGTACCACAGTTCAGCTGGCAACGAGTGGCTCGGAGCATATCTCCGCCTCGCTGCACGGCGTAGCTGCCCTAGCGTGCGGAACCAGTCGTCCCAGGCGAGCGAGGCTGCAGCACCGCCTAGGTCTTCAGGGCCGTCCTCCTGCAGGCGCTGGAGTTCGGGCCTGGCTGGGTCCGACGGCGACTGCAGCACCTTGGCCGAGAAGCCCCCGTCCTTGGCAGAGGCTTTCATTGTCTCCCCCCACTCCTGCAAGCTCGGGCGATACGAGTCTGGGACGTTGCACGCCCGCTGTCGTGGCCCCCTGCACCTCGCTCCAATCTGATAGACCACCTTCCACAAGTTGCTGGTGTCGTTCGAGCGTCGATGTAATTCTGCTTCTTCCAGTAGTCTGTCAATGTGCAGCGTGTCCAGGTGTCGTCGCTCTCGCTTGATAAGTCGATCCAACGCCCGAAGTCGCGCCCGAACTTCCTCTGCGACACGTGTGGCACTTGCCATGGGAGCCTCCAGCAAAACGGGTTGGCCGCCGCCTCCACGCGGTGTCCCTCGGAGCGATACCTCCAACCCCGAGGGCCTCTGGGAGGGGGTCGACCACCCAGCGACGACTGAACCTGGCGCGCCAGGCGCGTCAGGATTTTCCCCAGCAGGAAGTCCAGGATGTGGGTCGTCAGGTCGGTCGTGTCGTCCTCCAGCAGTGGCACTTGCCATGGGAGCATCCGGCAAAACGGGCTGGCCGCCGCCTCCACGCGGTGTCCCTCGGAGCGATTCCTCCAACCCCGAGGGCCTCTGGGAGGGGGTCGGCTGCCCTGCGACGACAGAACCTGGCGCGCCAGGCGCGCCAGGATTTTCGCCAGCAGGTAGTCCAGGTTGAGGGATGTCAGGCCGATCGTGTCGTCCTCCAGCGGTCTCTTCTGAAACTGATGGCCCCTCAGCGTCTCGCCGATCTCGAATAAAACGTCTTCCAATCAGGGATAACTCTGGTAGCTGGCCGATAGCAGGAACACCAAATCCCAGCTGAGAAGACTGCCACTCCAGATCCTCGGTGTTATTCCTCCAGAAGGCGTCTGCAGGTCGCAGTGGGTCCAGTTCAGCAGCAGCAGGTCCCACGGCTCTCTGAGGGGCGGGTGGACCGAGAAATTGGACTGGTAGCCTCGAAGTATCAGGGGCCAATCTGGACGGGTGCCTCAGTCGCGTGTCTGCCAGTAGGGTCCCAAGTTGTCCCAGAAGTTGTTGGTCTTGAGGGTTCAGCCTCAGCTGCCGTCGAAGTTCCAGGAGTTCACGTCGTCGTTCACGGTAATCTCTAGAGAGGCTCCCCTGCTGGTTCGTCTGCTGTAGCTCTGGAAGAGCAGCAGCGCGTAAATCGGTCACGAGTGCGTCCCAGGCCAGGCTGGGGTCAACCTCATCTGTGTCCCTGTGCCACTCCTGCTGCTTGGACGCGGATAGTCTCTCAATCTCCATAAGTATCTCTGCTCCAC